ATTGAAAAGGTACGCCAATCAAGAGCTGGAACACACTGGGAACCCCAAATTCCCAGGATCTGCTCTGGTTGAGCTCTAAGCCATGGAGGGCTGCTCAAGGGGTCAATCCAAGAAATTAAAGACCTGGATAAAGGAACCAAAAAAAAAGCCAGGAGGAAAGGGGCAGAAAAACGACACTCTTTTTTTCTTTAAATAAGAGATGGAAGGAACCATTTTGCTGCACACAATTCAAAATGCTTGATCATTAATAAGAACTTGTTTAAGGCTTTACCTCTCAGGTAAGTAACAAAGGCCTATTGCAGGAGCAGCCATTGGAATAACCCCCCACCCCCTGCTCACCTAAGCCACCCCATCTTATAACTAGCACCTTCACCCTGTACTTGCTCCCTCCTTTTCCCCCATACCATGAGTCTGACAAAAGGAAATCCTGTGAGAGTGTCTCTCTTTCCTTTCTGCCCTTTTTTTAAGGTCAGAAAAGGCTTGAGTGATCTGACGATGGGCTAATGTCCAAAAAATGTGAGAGAAAGAAAAGAAAGAGTAAAAAAAAAGACTTAGTAAAAGACTTTTTCTATGCTTTTAAAAATCCGATAAAGGAGAAATAAATGGTGAGTCCACAGTTGACTAGACATGTATAATGCAGGATTTGCTTGTAATGGCAGCGTGATCTTACTGACAGACCCAGCCAAAACATGTCAAAGGTTAAGAGATCTTGCCAGTTGCAAGGGGGAAGCCAAGAGTACCTTTTTTCATGAGTTCAACAAGGGCCATCGGTTGGTACACAGCAAGGACACTGCCTTCAGCCTCCAGTGCAACTCAGGAACAAAGACTTAATTTGACTTTATTGGTTCTCTCTGTTCTTTCTAATTATGATATTGTTGAAAAGATTTGAAACTTTTCTTGAATGAAAATGTATTTTTTTAAATCCTCACTTTCATTTTCTCTGGTCAGCTGTTACACTAGAACAATGTTAAAGCAAATTACATGTGTCGATCAATATTTAACAACTTACTATAGTACTGTGCGGTATAATATATATGTATAATATATTACAAAACATGGGTTAATAAAGAGAAGATTACTTCCAGATTGCACATTCTAAAATATCTTAGATGATGCATACTCAGAAACAGGAGTCAGGTTTGTTTTAAAGGGAGATGATTTTTTTTTTATTTTTTTTTTTAAACTACAGGTTCTACAACTTTACTGGCACAAGCATGTCTATACTAAAATACATATCATCATATCTGGAAGCTAAACTCAGCATACTGTCCTCCTTCAAGTAAACTAACCTTTGGATTGTAGCAGTTAAGAAAACCCTCTAACAGCTTGAAATACCCCACTCTGACTTTCTCAGGCTTTGAACACAATGGAGTGACTTTTCAAAGGGGGGGACCTTGGGTTATATGGATCTAACTGCTCTTTATAGATGTGTGGTCAAGCGTCCAGAGCCCAAGTGATTCTGCTAGACAATGTGAAATCCCCATTTCATGTCCTCAGATCTTTTGTCTGCTCACTGCTACACCAATGCGTGTGAATGAAATGACATGTAGGATACCTGTGAGACCTGAGAAGAGAAAGGACAATACTTAATGTGTTATAGGAAAGACTTCAGGAGTTTTGTTGAAGTGCTTCACAAAATGAATATTGGAACTATGTTGTAATAGCTATAACCAGTGGGAACTTCTTTACGCCAACTGCACATTGATAATGTGCAATACTAAGTCTCAGACATGACAAACATGCTTCCAACACACCAACTGTCCATGTAAGACAAACCACCAAATAATGGCAGTTACTGCTGGCACCACTTTCAGGCACCAGTGGCTTTCATTGGCCTGGATAATCTCCTATAAACACTTGGAGTGCTCCAATCACTAGTAGGGCCTCAGCTAATTGCTTATGAGTCCCTTGCACGTTCCAGGTGCCACCGTTGCACACCCGGTGTTTGTAAACACAGCTTGTAAAGAGGAAGCTGCCATCAAAGCACTAATGTTTCCTCATAGGATCAGAGGCAACACAGGAATGATGGGGGTGCAGCTGAGGTGATAGCTGGACGGCTTTGACTTAGGTGCTGTCCCTGCAGCTGTGGAGAGAAGGCTTCATTTACACATTCCTGTCAGAGAAAAAAGACACTCAACAGGAGCTTGTGTTTGTTTACTTTCCTTCTCTGGTCTTTCCTCATTTTTACTCTTTGTAGTTTTTTGTGTCTAAAGCAAACGGCCTCATCTGGTAAGTGTGACTACTGATGCTCAGAGCTAAAAAACAAGAAAAAAAAGGTTAGATGTAGTTGTGGTGGAATCAGCAGATATGTGTATTGAGTTCTGGATTCCTTCAAATTTGCCCTTTGAGACCAGTGACAGCAGTCTGATGGTATTATCAGCCAACCTGTAGCAGCATCTTTGCATGTTTTATAAGATTATGTATGATGATGAAGTCATATTAGACACAGATGATAAATTTGGCACAACATTTCAAAGGACAGGTTCACATTTCAAGTCTGCCTTCAATACTCACATGAGATGATCTTTAGACAGTGTAATTGTTGTTTCTTTCCATCAGGGCTGTAGAGATCTTATTGTAATGTGATTATAATGTCAGTGATAAGAGATAGGCTCCATAGCCCTTGTTCAGTATAGAATTGAAAACTAAAATTCAAATGAATCCATTATGAGAATTCAGAAGTCAAATTAAGTGGTTCTACATTTACAGCATGTTACTACTGAATTTTTACTTTTTCTTTCAGTCCTTCCACTGTGTCTCAGTGAGGAAACACATCATCATGAAAGCAAAAAGATACCCAGAGCTGGAAGAGTTTGAGATGTAGAGTTTGTCCCCCATCACTTTACATAGATTTACATCAGAAAGGGATCACTCAGGGGTCGGCTTGAACAGGAGGGCTGATTATGAGAAACTAAAGATTATTTCAATACATGTAGATATAGCAGAGAACAAAGGAAGAAGGCAAGTGATGTTGTTATAGTGTGGCAGAGTTTGTGTAGGTAAGGAGGTCAAGGTGGATGGAGGGGTTATTTACACATTGCGCTTTATAACAGTACACATTATTGTGTTTATTTAAACAGCATTCTGAATGAGCTGAAGTGGTCTAAGAGTCTTTTTGGGAAGACCATACAAAAAACTGTTACAATAGTCCAGCCCGCTGGAGATGATGGCATGAATTTGTTTCTCTGTTAGTTTTTCTCTCAAAATAAATGCTCACACCACTGCAGTTACTTGGTATAAAGGCTCATATTAATATGTTTTTGGACTAATTGAAAAGTTAATATTTTTTACACCAGAACTAGGTCATATTTTTTATGTTGTGGTCATGCTTTAACAAGAACCAAGAACTGAGCACATCACTCCCTACACTGGATAACAGTTACCTACAGAATTGATTTTAAAGTGCTTCTCCTTTTTTATAAATCATTCAGTGGCATGGGGCCAAAATGCATTTCTGATACCCTTGAGGAATACAAACCCATCAGGGCTCTGGGATGCTTAGGCAGCAGTCAGCTGGTAGAACCTCAGGTCAGAACCAAACAGGGTGAAGCTGCTTTTAGCTACTATGCTGCACACAAATGGAACCAACGTCCTGATGACCTTAAATCTGTCTCAACTCTGGTACTTTCAAGTCTCAATGACAACTCTGCTGTTTTCCTGTGCCTTTGTTTGACAGGTTTCTCTGCTGTACCTTCTGCATAGTAACTGCTAGATTTCTGTTTCAGACCTTTTATTTGATCTTTTTGTTCTTATTTTCATTTTATGTATTTTATCTCAAGGTTTTATCTACACTTAGTTTGAACAGATTTTATTCTAGTTTAATGTTTATTGGTTTTAATGCTGTTACTTTTTTCCTCGCCTCTGTGAAGCACTCTGAATTGTCTCTGTGTATGCATTGTGCTATGTAAATAAAGTCGTGTTGCCTTATTTTTCAGTGCTGGTCAGCTAGGCACCCTGTGGTCACTGCTGCCTTTTCAGTTCCTACCAGCTTTGAGTCACTCTGTCCTTCAGCACCTTGATCTGGTGCTGTGTTTACAGCATTAATCCAAAGCAGGCAATCCTTTTTTCACGTCGCCCTGGATCAAAAGGATTACATATTTTCTCTGTGCAGACTTGGGTATAAAAAGAAGAGTTCATACTCTGATCAGACAACAGGCCATATCAGGGGGCTTTTGAAGGTGTAAGTGGGCAAGTCAAGCCAGAAAAAACATCATAAACAGAGCTTAATCTCCAACCGTTTTTTCTTCTATTCAGGACCCTGTGCCTTCTGCTCATCTCCAAAATGTCTCCTTGTCATAGCCATGACAATCAGCGGGTGCCTTTATTTTTATATGAAAATGAAAACCAGATCAAACGAGAGCCACATGGGACTTGTTTGCAATCAGTGCCCAGAGGAACCAATTAGCCCATAAGTTTACTAGCATTTTTAGGGGTGAAGTGAGTTAGAGAGGCTGCTTAAGTGGCCAGCAGAAACAGGTTTTGTGCCCTTGAGTAAACAACACTGGGTGGTTATCATGAGGATGGAGTGCAACATCTGGAGTCAGGAAGCTTTTACAGCTGTCAGGCAGACTGATACTGTGCAGACTTGGACACTGTGTATGCCTGCTACAGAAATGTGTTTACAAAGTATGTGTTTATAAATTTTATGTAGTGCAGGATGGGATGTGAGGCTGGGATGCATATGTAATATCCAATTAAGCTTCTATGGGAAATTAATAATGACAGTAATAATATCTTGCCTTTTCTGATATGACCCATATGTAACCTGTTTTTTTACCTGCTGTAAGGTCAGATGGCCTTTTCATAAAGCAGGTTCTCTCAGCTCATTGTGCATGTATTGTGTGTGTGTGTGTGGTTTTCTTGTCTTGCATGTCTTTGTACCTCCAGAGCATATGGCTGTTTGGTATTCTAATCACTAATGATAGAATGGCTTTTGATCAGGAAACTCCCAAAGCTAGATGTTTCTAACCCAGACTCTTGTGCACTCTTTTATTTTCCAGGCCTGATGGAAATCCGATCTGTCAGTGTGGGAGTTGTTGCCATCAAGTCTGTCAGCACTGGGCTGTACTTAGCTATGTCAAAGAAAGGCACACTCTTTGGATCGGTGCGTATACAACCTGGCAGCACTATATCTGGGGGTCAAAATGGGAGGGCTGGAAAGGGGAAGGAGGCAATCGAGGCATATATGTGAAAAGCTTGGAGTGATTCTACTGAAGTGAAGAGAAATCTCAGGAATCTTTGGTTTGAAAGTCCAGAGAAAGGTCAGAGTGTTACTATCAATCATGGCTCTACACCTGGGCTGTGGTTGATGATACCTGCAGCTTCAGTTGGCTTGTTACACTGTCAAAATACACATTGCAGAGAAAAGAAACCAAACTAGACAATGACAAAGAGCCAGCTGGGCTCCTTTAAAAGGTTTTGGGTGCCATCTGCCAATTGCTGTTTTACACAGAAAGATTTTAAAAGTAATCACCTCTCTTTGTTAAAATCAGCCACACATCAGACCTGAGATGTGTGGTGTCTAGCTCGTGTATTTTCATCTTGGAGAAAGGAGAAATCAGCGACGAGCAATCAGCAAGTGAGCAGTGATAAGAAAAGCCTCAAAAGAGAAACAGGACATTAAGAGACCTGAAGAGCCAGGACTCTGCTAAACTCTGAAGTCTCTAGTAATAACAGAAACCACGTGAATCCTGCCAGGCTCATAATATTCTGCTGCTATCACAGAGAGGGCCTCATTATGGCAACACGATTATGATCAAGAAAGGGGAATGTAGCAGAATCTCTTGTCACTACAGCCTCTTTCCAGCCTCTTTGACTAACTGATAAGAACTCATAACCATGCATGGAAAAGTGGCTTTTCTGAGTGGTGATGGCTGGATTAGCTCACAGATCAGTAGTTCATACTGTAACCTAAAAACTGGATCAGAAAGGAGAGTTTAATAGTGTGAAATCATAAGAGTTCATTTAACTTGTTTATTCAATACCATTTTGGTTCATTTAAGAACATTAAAGGGTCAGGTCATACAAATCAAACACACACACACACACACACTTGTGTTCATCTCTTGTATTTAGTCCCCATGAGGAAGGTAAGTCCCTATAGTGTGAGTAATATAGGCACACACACACATCTTTTCTCCCTTTTATTTATACAGGTTTTCGAACACCAGCTCGCAGATTTCCTCTGCCAGCTCAGCACAACTCAGGTGAATGTCCTTCCAACAACAACGTCTCAGGATATTTCACAGACCTCATTGTCATCAGTGTTAGTCTGTGATCAACTTTCACAGACTGGTCCCAATGAAAACTTAACCGTGATATCTGCGGATTATCCAGAGTAATCAGAACATTGTTTCTGGAAAGGCATGTTGTTGTTGGGGTCAAATGTAATTTTTCTCTGCTTTGAGCAGCACAAACAAAATCATTTAGCTCCACATTAGGTCAATAAAACATCTATCTGCATGGCTAGACGCTAGGAGTGGCATAACATGAGAACATGGGATTTGGGACAGCCAGCTATTTATTCCTAGACTAAACACTTCAGAAAGATAAACCCAATGCAAAATTCTTTGCAATGAAAAAACTTACCCTATCAACTACAAATACCTGGAAAGTATTCCACTACAACAATAGACATTAACCTTTTTGCACTTCCTGGAAGCTGGCCTAATGTAGTAGCAGTTAGCCATTAGCCTTACATTATAGCCTCCCTGACCTCTTGTCTTCCTCTCTCTGGTCACAGGTGAAGTACAACCCGAGTTGTAAGTTCAAGGAGCGAATTGAGGAGAACGGCTACAACACATACGCCTCCCTCCGCTGGAAGCATGGTGGTAGGCAGATGTTTGTGTCACTGAACGGCCGGGGGAAGCCACGGAGAGGTCACAAGGCTCGACGAAGACACCCATCAACTCACTTCCTGCCCATGCTCCCCTCCTAGCTGCTCAAGTTTGAACTCTGACTGGCGACCGGCTGGCTGACCCGCCTCCTCACACTAGTTCTGATGATGATCTTTATTTGGCTATTCCACCCTCCTGTCACATAAATGTACAGTACATATGTTGAGGAAAGTAACATTTGTGAAGCTAGTATAATGTGTACTTTTAAGTTATTTTCTTCATTTTCTAATGATGTGCAGTAATACAGTCCAATACAGTGGGATCATACTAGCTTCAGACATCTGTCTGGCCACTGGAACTATCTGTGTGTCTGAAGTGCATGTAAAGTGATGTTTGGATGACTGTAAGATTGTAAGAGTACTGAAAAGGGATTGCAAGGCTTGGAAATAACACAATGTGGCTCATTGCTAGAATCAACCGATCAATCTGAAATGACAAGTATCACTATTAGAACAAAAAAGGTAGCAGCTTGGAGATGCAAATCGGGGCAGTAACTACCACTGATGACAATGAGGTCATGTTTTATACTATGCTTTTTTTGCCTTTACATCTAGAGCACAATTTCATGCATTAAATCTTCTCATATTTAAGACATTTCAGGATGTTTCACATGTGAAATCTGTAACTATATCTAACAAAACAAAAACAAAACAAACAAACAAATAAATAAAACTAACCTAACAAAAATCTAAATAGTTACCAAAAAAGCTGTGTGGACATGACCTCAGTATTTCTAAAATTGTGCTCTGGCTATGCTATGAATTTAACATCTTCATTGTTGCTTTGGTTGTAACAGACACCACTAGAAAAGAGTCACCGACCTGCACCTGAATTGTAATGATGAGCCAAAAATCTCTACTAAATGAATCTCATGTGCTGTTCTGTCTGTATATGTCTATACATAACAAGAACAGAGCAGAAACTAAGCTAATTCCTGGGATAACATGCTGGATTTCCTGCAATGACCTTTATGTGTTTGAGCATGCTTCTGTCAGACTGCTTTTCTCAATCAATTCTCAGTGCAATTCTCCAATAGAGTAGAAATCAGTTTCTCTAGTTTGTTGGCCTTAGTTCAGTTGTGCATAATAATTAATATACATTTTGTGTCACTGAATGCATTATAATGGCTGTAGGAACACCAGATGTCACATAGCAGCAACTTCACAAATGTTTTACCCAGTAGTAAATGGTTATTACACCCTGCCTCTCTTTTAAGGCTTTCTAACAATTTCTTGACAAGAACTCTGTTGCTAATAGAACATTTAATATATTTAAAACATTTTTTACTCTTTAACTGTTGGAAGTTTATTGTTATTGATAATTTTTTTTTGGATTGTAGTCCTACTAAGAAGGGGAGGCTCCCTGATAGGAAGGAGGGATAAAACAGTTGTTTTCAAGTCCATAATCAGCTCATCTTATATATAACTAATGGATATTGGTACACTGATCCATTTATCATGAACTGCTTTCCAGTTATATGCTAGTTATAGCAGGTTGTATATAAGGCCAAATTCTCATTACAAAAACAGCAACGTAGATTCAGTGATTTAAAATCAATTGAGTGCCTTGGTCCATGCTGAGTGTCAATAAAAATGTGGATAAATCATGAGTCATGGCTCACTTGTTAATGCAATCAAGCCTTTTCAATAATCTTTCTAAAGTTATTCATTTCAGAACTGTCACTTTAATCTTGTTTTGTGCATGACACTGATTGTTAAGTGTTAGTAACATCTTCATCAGAGCTCTTCAACATAATCCCCTTCCTTATTATAATTATGGCAAAACTCACAACAGGAGAGGCTTTGATGTGAAGGACCCACCACATCAATATAGAGGTGTCTATATTTTTGCCCACCCCAGCTACATACATGAGAGGGTCAGAATATTAGGAACACTTCTGAATATAATGTAGTCCAGTACAACACTACCTGTAATTATGAGCTTGATAATAGGATGTATATATTTATGACAATTTCACCAAAAACTGAAGCATTTTGATGTTAAGGTGGAAGTGTCGCACTGAATTGCATACAATTGTACAGGTGTACCTAATAAAATGGCCAGTGAGTGCATATTTCAGCTTTTTCCCCTCTCTTGTTTTAAGAATGTACCCTATAGCAGCTTAACATGTGTCTGTGAACATATGATTGTTATCCAATCATCAGCTGGCACAGACAAAAGAAAACCTGCATGCAACAAAGTACTGTGTTTTTCTGCCTGTTTTCTTCATAGACTGGCCTCTGTGTCAATGTACCCTCTGTCGCTTCTCCTCTACCTTTCCTCTCTCCCTTTTTAACTGTCCAAGAATCTTTCCTTTCTTCTTGGCCTGGGGGTGCAACTGCCTGTTGGTGCCGGTTCCAGGGACACCAAATGGGAGCTGTAATTATCATTGCTCTACCACTGTCCTGTCAGTGAGCTCGCCAGCAAAACAAGAGGGATCCTTTGGAATTCCTGATCAAAAGCTTTAGCCTTTGATCATGAGGCAAAAGAAAAGACCTAAACAGTGTGCAAAATCAACGACGAATGTCCCAGAGAGAGCCCAGGATAATGGAAATGACAGCCATCCAGAAGACAACCTCTGCTCCTCCTCTGCTATGACGTGTTGATGTCAGGAGCTCAGGTGTTTGTGCTGTGTTTGATCTGATCGGTTATAGCAGAGACCTGAGAGAATGAGTCATGCAGTGATTTTGGTGATTAACTGTCAATCAGAAAGCACCTGGCAGACTGCATGGCAATGTCTGTACACTTTAAACACTGTACATGTTTATAGAGGAGGTTACTTTGAATGCTTCAAAATTAATTTGCAGCTGAGATACAGAGAAAAGTAATAATAGAAGCAATTTTGAGTGCCTTAGCCAAAGTCTATAGGGGCACAAGTCATACTGCTTTAGCGACAACAAACCACAGCCTCTGGAACCTTTGAAACCCTGTGTGGTCATTTTCTCTCACAGTGGCTGAAAGGAACTGTGGTGGGTGGGAAAGAAAAAAGAGCCCCTCGCTACTCATAATACCAATCTTATGTATGTAGACGAAAATGGGAGCGATGGGAGGGGTTGGGGGGGTGGCAGACGGACTAAGGCACAATTTTAAAGCGCTTATTGAATTGCCATTACAGCTTCTGAGACTAATTGTGGCTGTTGTGTGTCTCTCAGCGGCCTACGGGGCTCTGGAGTGGGTCTGTATGCTCTTACTCAGTGGGGTTTTCAAACCGAGTGGCCCTGAAAGAGAACAGGACCACCGTAGATCAATGGCAAACCTTTCACTCTTTCACAGGCCCTTGCTAATCCTTCTCATTTGTCTGCCATTTGTTGAGGCACATTCACAGTTCCCTGAATTTAGGATTAGTCCTTGTTTTGTTACAAAAACAGCCCAAGTTATAATGCTGAATAGATGGACTAAAGGGTGGATGACGGGTGAGTGTGCATGAGAGTTTGTGAGTATGTGTGTATGGTTGTTGGGTATACACGATGTTTATGACCAAATTCATGGGAATACAGAACCTATTCAATGCTTTGTCTCAATTTTTATTTCAGTGATAAGTGCTGCTAAAATGATAGCTTGCAGAGGATTTGCTGAAGCCTTAATGTTCACAAAGCAACACAGACAGAATCAGCAGCACCATTCTGAAAGAATATCATGATTTCTAAGATTTACATATTCCAGATTTTCAAGTTAGTTCTATTAGAAAATGTGTACACAGTTATGTATAAAGCATCCAGGCCTCTACATCTATTGTAATGGCACAGTCATTTATGGAGTGTAAAATTATTTACAATCAAAGATGTTCAGGGAGCAGTGTGAAATTTTGGAAAACAAGCTAACTGTAGCTTGTTAGTTCGCTGTTCTGAGTCTCCCTATTCAAATAAATGTTTCATAAAGAAGAGATAAAAACATGAAAAATTAATTTATCACAATAAATTACCTGCAAAGCAGGGTTTTATTAAAGGTATAAAAATTCCCTTTGAAGCCTAGAGTTTGTCTCCACTGTCCTCTGTCTGAACCTGAGACTGTGCTTGGACAGACTTGGCAGCCTGCAGCAGAGCTATCAGACTGAGGCCTTCTCATCACTGAATGGATTAGTGTTCACATCTGAAGTCACTTACTGAACTTTAGACAGGGCTGATGAGTGTCACATGCACATCTCCCCTCAAGCTCTGCCATGCCACGCTGCAGGCCAAACCCCATGTCAAGCATTCTCTGGATGCCTGTAGCACCATGCCAGACACCAGGGGATGAAGTGAAGAGCTGGATGGAAAAGATGACTGTGTGAATAAAGAAGGATGAGAAAGTAAGGAAAGTAAGTGAGGGGATATATTAGGAAGTGGGACTGAAGAAGAAAACGAGAATAACACGCTAGGTTTAAAGTACAGACAGGATGTCATAGTGAGAGTAACATCAGACTAATTTATTATATTGTGTGGCACAGGTGCTGAAAACCTTATCAGTTTCCGGGGGTGGCTGTGGCTTAGGAGGTAGAGCGGGTCGTCTCCTAACCGGAGGATTAGCGGTTTGGTTCCTGGCTTGTCCAGTCAACATGTCGAAGTGTCCTTGAGCAAGACACTGAACCCCGAGTTACTCTCATTGATAACACCGGTGTGTGAATGTGTGAGTGCAAATTGGTGAATGGCCAAATAGTGTGAAAGCACTTTGAGTGAGCTGTAATGCATAGAGCAGTCCATTTACTAATTTATTATACTGGTGGCACAGGTGCTGAAAACCTTATTAGTTTCTGCTTATAGCAAACAACTTGGCCCCAAAAGGCAATTTAAAGAAGAAGAAGAAAAAGGTTTATTATTATTACTACTGCCAAGAGTTAGATGAGAATGTCAGTACCACTAGCATGACATAAAGCCTGAAAAAAATGTGCAAAGGTAACATAATAAAATAAAATAAAAACACCTAACAAAGCTCATCAACACATTTCGTACCAAACTGTAAAAAAAGGCAAGTTGTGGTTTGACAGTGGTTGTGTGCTGGAGCTATTTCTTGGACTGGAACAGAGACTTCCTGGAGTCCTGTTGTCACATGAGGTTTCCAAGCAACGAGCAGAGACTTAGACACAGATTAACAAACCAGATGTAATGTGTTAATTAGTGAAGTTTAGAGTTGCTACTAAGCAGATTTTCCTTTAAACTTCGGATTGTCGGGCTAGCTGTTTCTGCCTGGATCCAGTTTTTTTTTTTTTTACTAAACTAAGCTAATTAGCTGCTGTCTGCAGCTTCAGATTAGCTGTAAGATGTAAGAGTGGTATCTATCTTTTCTTTTGTTAGGTATTTTTAGTCAGATAGAAATTGGATAGATACTTTATGTATTAGAAATGTTTAGTGGAGATAGGATGTCTAGTTAGACTGTTAAATGCTTAGGCATGCTTATGAGTTTCTACAGGGTACATCTGGTCAAGGATAACTAGAGAGAAGAGTTGATGACTGTCAGCAGACAGGATGTTTAATATTATTATTATGACGTGTATAACTGTAGCCTTAGCCATAATATGTTCTTATGTTTAAGTCACGACATGTTCTAGAGGTCGTGAGAATGTTTTTAGTTACACACCACTTAATCAACAGACATACACATTGATTTACTTCATGTTTTGACTACTGCTATGACCAGCTGCAAAGCTGGCAACAGAGACGTCTTGGTTGACGTTTCTGTGTAGTATGGGGCTAGCCCAACCGAAGGGATATAATGTATAGGCCTGGTGGGCTCAGGGTCTTTCATCTTACATCTGCCTGGGAGCAGTTTGGAGGTGCAAGATACCTGAGCGTGTAATGTTAATTTTTTACCTGTGTTCATGGAATAAATCAGCACTGTTTCGTAGTTACTTGGACTGTCTCGTCTCTCAGAGTCAGTATGGTAAAAAGTACCGGATACAACACTTCTAACTCTTTGCAAGAAAGTGAATATATATCATTACATCATATCAATATATATCATTACCAACCTTGACATTGGCTATCTTGTCAGAGCACACATATTTAACTGTAAAAAGCAGGTATCATTTGTAGTCAACATTCTTATGTGCACTATAAGCAGAGGCCAGTACTGTATATAGACATAGGATAATTCGACACTTATGACTTTGCTATGTGGTTGCAGTAATCTGAGACTGGTGCTGTATGTCTTAACTGGAATATATATATATTTTCTCTTTTTAACATCCTTTCACTTGGTGTGTAGTGTTACTTTAGTTTCTGGAGAGACTGGTGTGCCAACCACCTGGTCATACATCAGTACATCTTTTTATTTGATATAGCTTCAGTTACAGCCTGTAATGCTAATCTTTCTTCTGTGTGTCACTAAGATAGTGGGAATTTTTGAGGGTACACCACTCCTCTGACTACCTAGCTGTCAAAATCTAGAAATATAATTAAAACATATATAAGATATGAACAAAAAGAAACAAAAGAATATATAAAATTGAAGGATATAAGAAGAAAAGCTGTTGGCAGCCCAAAGGGGCAGAAACCATCTCCTTTTATATATATATAGTATGGCCAGGCACATATTGGCCTGCGTCCCAGTCAACACTCATGAGGTTGTCTTTGGCTGTTAGTGACTGGAAAAGACCAAAGTGAGTGTTGCTTCATGCAAAGTTACATACCAAAATCAAACCACCCTGCCCCTTAAGTTCAGCTACGTGCGAAGAAATTTCTCATGCCAGTGACACCAGACAGACTCTGTGTCTTGTCAATGCATGCATGGAGACGTTTTTCTCAACACTGCAATTTTTTCACTTCAAAGATCAACAGGTGAATGTTCTTCCTTAAAATGCATGCACAATTTCAAAATCGGCTTTGTTTTTCTTGT